ATAGGACTAAAGTATACTTGCTGGTTGGTCAGTAAGGTGTTGTGGTGGCCTTAATAACCCTCCAGGGGTTGATAGGACTAAAGTATACTTGCTGGTTGGTCAGTAAGGTGTTGTGGTGGTCTTAATAACCCTCCAGAGGTTGATAGGACTAAAGTATACTTGCTGGTTGGTCAGTAAGGTGTTGTGGTGGTCTTAATAACCCTCCAGAGGTTGATAGGACTAAAGTATACTTGCTGGTTGGTCAGTAAGGTGTTGTGGTGGTCTTAATAACCCTCCAGAGGTTGGTAGGACTAAAGTATACTTGCTGGTTGGTCAGTAAGGTGTTGTGGTGGCCTTAATAACCCTCCAGAGGTTGATAGGGCTAAAGTATACTTGCTGGTTGGTCAGTAAGGTGTTGTGGTGGTCTTAATAACCCTCCAGGGGTTGATAGGACTAAAGTATACTTGCTGGTTGGTCAGTAAGGTGTTGTGGTGGTCTTAATAACCCTCCAGAGGTTGATAGGGCTAAAGTATACTTGCTGGTTGGTCAGTAAGGTGTTGTGGTGGTCTTAATAACCCTCCAGAGGTTGATAGGACTAAAGTATACTTGCTGGTTGGTCAGTAAGGTGTTGTGGTGGCCTTAATAACCCTCCAGAGGTTGATAGGACTAAAGTATACTTGTTGGTTGGTCAGTAAGGTGTTGTGGTGGTCTTAATAACCCTCCAGAGGTTGATAGGACTAAAGTATACTTGCTGGTTGGTCAGTAAGGTGTTGTGGTGGCCTTAATAACCCTCCAGAGGTTGATAGGACTAAAGTATACTTGCTGGTTGGTCAGTAAGGTGTTGTGGTGGTCTTAATAACCCTCCAGGGGTTGATAGGACTAAAGTATACTTGCTGGTTGGTCAGTAAGGTGTTGTGGTGGTCTTAATAACCCTCCAGAGGTTGATAGGACTAAAGTATACTTGCTGGTTGGTCAGTAAGGTGTTGTGGTGGCCTTAATAACCCTCCAGAGGTTGATAGGACTAAAGTATACTTGCTGGTTGGTCAGTAAGGTGTTGTGGTGGCCTTAATAACCCTCCAGAGGTTGATAGGACTAAAGTATACTTGCTGGTTGGTCAGTAAGGTGTTGTGGTGGCCTTAATAACCCTCCAGAGGTTGATAGGACTAAAGTATACTTGCTGGTTGGTCAGTAAGGTGTTGTGGTGGCCTTAATAACCCTCCAGAGGTTGATAGGACTAAAGTATACTTGCTGGTTGGTCAGTAAGGTGTTGTGGTGGCCTTAATAACCCTCCAGAGGTTGATAGGACTAAAGTATACTTGCTGGTTGGTCAGTAAGGTGTTGTGGTGGTCTTAATAACCCTCCAGAGGTTGATAGGACTAAAGTATACTTGCTGGTTGGTCAGTAAGGTGTTGTGGTGGCCTTAATAACCCTCCAGAGGTTGATAGGACTAAAGTATACTTGCTGGTTGGTCAATAAGGTGTTGTGGTGGTCTTAATAACCCTCCAGAGGTTGATAGGACTAAAGTATACTTGCTGGTTGGTCAGTAAGGTGTTGTGGTGGTCTTAATAACCCTCCAGAGGTTGATAGGGCTAAAGTATACTTGCTGGTTGGTCAGTAAGGTGTTGTGGTGGTCTTAATAACCCTCCAGGGGTTGATAGGACTAAAGTATACTTGCTGGTTGGTCAGTAAGGTGTTGTGGTGGTCTTAATAACCCTCCAGAGGTTGATAGGACTAAAGTATACTTGCTGGTTGGTCAGTAAGGTGTTGTGGTGGTCTTAATAACCCTCCAGAGGTTGATAGGACTAAAGTATACTTGTTGGTTGGTCAGTAAGGTGTTGTGGTGGTCTTAATAACCCTCCAGAGGTTGATAGGGCTAAAGTATACTTGCTGGTTGGTCAGTAAGGTGTTGTGGTGGTCTTAATAACCCTCCAGAGGTTGATAGGACTAAAGTATACTTGCTGGTTGGTCAGTAAGGTGTTGTGGTGGTCTTAATAACCCTCCTGAGGTAATAGGACTAAAGTATACTTGCTGGTTGGTCAGTAAGGTGTTGTGGTGGTCTTAATAACCCTCCAGAGGTTGATAGGGCTAAAGTATACTTGCTGGTTGGTCAGTAAGGTGTTGTGGTGGTCTTAATAACCCTCCAGAGGTTGATAGGACTAAAGTATACTTGCTGGTTGGTCAGTAAGGTGTTGTGGTGGTCTTAATAACCCTCCTGAGGTTGATAGGACTAAAGTATACTTGCTGGTTGGTCAGTAAGGTGTTGTGGTGGTCTTAATAACCCTCCAGAGGTTGATAGGACTAAAGTATACTTGCTGGTTGGTCAGTAAGGTGTTGTGGTGGTCTTAATAACCCTCCAGAGGTTGATAGGACTAAAGTATACTTGCTGGTTGGTCAGTAAGGTGTTGTGGTGGTCTTAATAACCCTCCAGAGGTTGATAGGACTAAAGTATACTTGCTGGTTGGTCAGTAAGGTGTTGTGGTGGTCTTAATAACCCTCCAGAGGATGATAGGACTAAAGTATACTTGCTGGTTGGTCAGTAAGGTGTTGTGGTGGTCTTAATAACCCTCCAGAGGTTGATAGGACTAAAGTATACTTGCTGGTTGGTCAGTAAGGTGTTGTGGTGGTCTTAATAACCCTCCAGGGGTTGATAGGACTAAAGTATACTTGCTGGTTGGTCAGTAAGGTGTTGTGGTGGTCTTAATAACCCTCCAGAGGTTGATAGGACTAAAGTATACTTGCTGGTTGGTCAGTAAGGTGTTGTGGTGGTCTTAATAACCCTCCAGAGGTTGATAGGACTAAAGTATACTTGCTGGTTGGTCAGTAAGGTGTTGTGGTGGTCTTAATAACCCTCCAGAGGTTGATAGGACTAAAGTATACTTGCTGGTTGGTCAGTAAGGTGTTGTGGTGGCCTTAATAACCCTCCAGAGGTTGATAGGACTAAAGTATACTTGCTGGTTGGTCAGTAAGGTGTTGTGGTGGCCTTAATAACCCTCCAGAGGTTGATAGGACTAAAGTATACTTGCTGGTTGGTCAGTAAGGTGTTGTGGTGGCCTTAATAACCCTCCAGAGGTTGATAGGACTAAAGTATACTTGCTGGTTGGTCAGTAAGGTGTTGTGGTGGCCTTAATAACCCTCCAGAGGTTGATAGGACTAAAGTATACTTGCTGGTTGGTCAGTAAGGTGTTGTGGTGGTCTTAATAACCCTCCAGAGGTTGATAGGACTAAAGTATACTTGCTGGTTGGTCAGTAAGGTGTTGTGGTGGTCTTAATAACCCTCCAGGGGTTGATAGGACTAAAGTATACTTGCTGGTTGGTCAGTAAGGTGTTGTGGTGGCCTTAATAACCCTCCAGAGGTTGATAGGACTAAAGTATACTCGCTGGTTGGTCAGTAAGGTGTTGTGGTGGCATTAATAACCCTCCAGAGGTTGATAGGACTAAAGTATACTCGCTGGTTGGTCAGTAAGGTGTTGTGGTGGCCTTAATAACCCTCCAGAGGTTGATAGGACTAAAGTATACTTGCTGGTTGGTCAGTAAGGTGTTGTGGTGGCCTTAATAACCCTCCAGAGGTTGATAGGACTAAAGTATACTTGCTGGTTGGTCAGTAAGGTGTTGTGGTGGCCTTAATAACCCTCCAGAGGTTGATAGGACTAAAGTATACTCGCTGGTTGGTCAGTAAGGTGTTGTGGTGGTCTTAATAACCCTCCAGAGGTTGATAGGACTAAAGTATACTTGTTGGTTGGTCAGTAAGGTGTTGTGGTGGTCTTAATAACCCTCCAGAGGTTGATAGGACTAAAGTATAACACCAATGTCAATATTTTAATATATTTCCTGAGTTTACCTGAGGGCCACCATCTTTCTAGTGGCCTCGACAGGGACAGGAAGCCGGTGACTAGTTAAAGGTTCCCGTATTTACCCTGGGTATTTTTTCCCAACTGGATTTTCAATTGCAGTAATGTCTTGGCATTACTTCAGTGGGTAGGCGGTTCCTTGGTTTATAACCTTATGAGGGAAAAGGCATCTTCTTTTTTCTGTTCTGCATTCTAGCTTGTTGAACTTGAAGTTGATTCCTCGTGAATGTGCAACGTTTGACCGTTCAAAGAAGTTCAAAGATCAAAATCCTTCAAATTGTTCAGTTTTGTATAAGTTTCGATGAGATCCGCCCTGTCATGCCTGGTTCGCAGTGTTGTTAGCCTTGTTAACCTGGGGCATCACATGGTATTACCTCACGTCCACAGGTGTGGAGGAGAGAGAGAGACGTCAACTAGACGTCCACAGGTGTGGAGGAGAGAGGGAGACCTCAACAAGACGTCCACAGGTGTGGAGGAGAGAGAGAGAGACGTCAACAAGACGTCCACAGGTGTGGAGGAGAGAGAGAGAGAGTGAGAGAGAGAGAGAGAGAGACAGAGAGATAGAGAGAGAGAGAGAGAGAGAGAGAGAGAGAGAGAGAGAGAGAGAGAGAGAGAGAGAGAGAGAGAGAGAGAGAGAGAGAGAGAGAGAGAGAGAGAGAGAGAGAGAGAGAGAGAGAGAGAGAGAGAGAGAGAGAGAGAGAGAGAGAGAGAGAGAGAGAGAGAGAGAGAGAGAGAGAGAGAGAGAGAGAGAGAGAGAGAGAGAGAGAGAGACATCAAGAAGACGTCCACAGGTGTGGAGGAGAGAGAGAGAGACATCAACAAGACGTCCACAGGTGTGGAGGAGAGAGAGAGAGAGACATCCAAAGGTGTGGAGGAGAGAGAGAGAGACATCCACAGGTGTGGAAGAGAGAGAGAGACGTCAACAAGACGTCCACAGGTGTGGAGGAGAGAGAGAGACGTCAACTAGACGTCCACAGGTGTGGAGGAGAGAGAGAGACGTCAACTAGACGTCCACAGGTGTGGAGGAGAGAGAGAGACGTCAACTAGACATCCACAGGTGTGGAGGAGAGAGAGAGAGACATCCACAGGTGTGGAGGAGAGAGAGAGACGTCAACAAGACATCCACAGGTGTGGAGGAGAGAGAGAGACGTCAACTAGACGTCCAAAACTGACCTTCCGTCCATACTTGTCACTCCAGGCTCCCATGAAGAGGACAAAGACGAGAGGCAACACAGACAAGATGATGCTGTTGTAGAAGGTGAAGACTGAGAACTCTCGCTGGACGCGCACACTCTCCTCCGGATGAGCCGACAAGTTGGCGCATACCTGAGGGCATCACATGGTATTACCTCACACACCTGGGGCATCACATGGTCATATCTCACACACCTGGGGCATCACATGGTCATATCTCACACACCTGGGGCATCACATGGTATTATCTCACACATCTGGGGCATCACATGGTCATATCTCACACACCTGGGGCATCACATGGTATTACCTCACACACCTGGGGCATCACATGGTATTACCTCACACACCTGGGGCATCACATGGTCATATCTCACACACCTGGGGCATCACATGGTATTATCTCACACACCTGGGGCATCACATGGTATTATCTCACACACCTGGGGCATCACATGGTCATATCTCACACACCTGGGACATAACATGGCCATATCTCACACACCTGGGGCATCACATGGTCATATCTAACACACCTGGGGCATCACATGGTCATATCTCACACACCTGGGGCATCACATGGTATTATCTCACACACCTGGGGCATCACATGGTCATATCTCACACACCTGGGGCATCACATGGTCATATCTCACACACCTGGGACATAACATGGTCATATCTCACACACCTGGGGCATCACATGGTCATATCTAACACACCTGGGGCATCACATGGTCATATCTAACACACCTGGGGCATCACATGGTCATATCTCACACACCTGGGGCATCACATGGTATTATCTCACACACCTGGGGCATCACATGGTCATATCTCACACACCTGGGGCATCACATGGTCATATCTCACACACCTGGGACATAACATGGTCATATCTCACACACCTGGGGCATCACATGGTCATATCTAACACACCTGGGGCATCACATGGTCATATCTAACACACCTGGGGCATCACATGGTCATATCTCACACACCTGGGGCATCACATGGTCATATCTCACACACCTGGGACATAACATGGTCATATCTCACACACCTGGGGCATAACATGGCCATATCTCACACACCTGGGGCATAACATGGCCATATCTCACACACCTGGGGCATCACATGGTATTATCTCACACACCTGGGGCATCACATGGCTATATCTCACACACCTGGGACATAACATGGCCATATCTCACACACCTGGGGCATCACATGGTCATATCTAACACACCTGGGGGCATCACATGGTATTACCTCACACACCTGGGGCATCACATGGTCATATCTCACACACCTGGGACATAACATGGTCATATCTCACACACCTGGGGCATCACATGGTCATATCTAACACACCTGGGGCATCACATGGTCATATCTCACACACCTAGGACATAACATGGTCATATCTCACACACCTGGGGCATAACATGGCCATATCTAACACACCTGGGGCATCACATGGTCATATCTCACACACCTGGGACATAACATGGTCATATCTCACACACCTGGGGCATCACATGGCCATATCTAACACACCTGGGGCATCACATGGTCATATCTCACACACCTGGGGCATCACATGGTCATATCTAACACACCTGGGGCATCACATGGTATTATCTAACACACCTGGGGCATAATTTATAAAAAAATCACTACCAGATATGCAAACAAATTTGTGATCGGTTCTTTGTTTGCCTAAAAATAAACTGTTTACTTTTAATGATTATTTTGTATTTTGTTCCCTGTTTTCCTTCTCTTTGCCTATGGTGCTATCTCGGTTGTATCCAAGTATAGATCCAAGTAACAGTGACAATTGATCTAAGTCTATGTAACAGTGACAATAGATCCAAGTCTATGTAACAGTGACAATAGATCCAAGTCTATGTAACAGTGACAATTGATCTAAGTCTATGTAACAGTGACAATAGATCCAAGTCTATGTAACAGTGGCAATAGATCCAGGTCTATGTAACAGTGACAATAGATCCAAGTCTATGTAACAGTGGCAATAGATCCAGGTCTATGTAACAGTGACAATAGATCCAAGTCTATGTAACAGTGGCAATAGATCCAGGTCTATGTAACAAAGGCAATAGATCCAAGTCTATGTAACAGAGGCAATAGATCCAGGTCTATGTAACAAAGGCAATAGATCCAAGTCTATGTAACAGAGGCAATAGATCCAAGTCTATGTAACAGTGGCAATAGATCCAGGTCTATGTAACAAAGGCAATAGATCCAAGTCTATGTAACAGTGGCAATAGATCCAAGTCTATGTAACAGAGGCAATAGATCCAAGTCTATGTAACAGTGGCAATAGATCCAAGTCTATGTAACAAAGGCAATAGATCCAAGTCTATGTAACAGTGGCAATAGATCCAGGTCTATGTAACAGAGGCAATAGATCCAAGTCTATGTAACAGTGGCAATAGATCCAGGTCTATGTAACAAAGGCAATAGATCCAAGTCTATGTAACAGTGGCAATAGATCCAAGTCTATGTAACAGAGGCAATAGATCCAAGTCTATGTAACAGTGGCAATAGATCCAGGTCTATGTAACAAAGGCAATAGATCCAAGTCTATGTAACAGAGGCAATAGATCCAAGTCTATGTAACAGTGGCAATAGATCCAGGTCTATGTAACAAAGGCAATAGATCCAAGTCTATGTAACAGTGGCAATAGATCCAAGTCTATGTAACAGTGGCCATAGATCCAGGTCTATGTAACAGTGGCCATAGATCCAAGTCTATGTAACAGTGACAATAGATCCAAGTCTATGTAACAGTGACAATAGATCCAAGTCTATGTAACAGTGACAATAGATCCAGGTCTATGTAACAGTGACAATAGATCCAGGTCTATGTAACAGTGGCAATAGATCCAGGTCTATGTAACAGTGGCCATAGATCCAAGTCTATGTAACAGTGACAATAGATCCAAGTCTATGTAGCAGTGACAATAGATCAAAGTCTTTCAATCAGTGGCACTTGATACAAGGACAAAGCCAAGCTCGAGTAACAGAACATTGTCCATATTTCCTAGACCAGAATTAGACAGAAAATGAACCTTACAACCCAGGAAGAAAGACGTAATTGCTACAGGGTAACCGACGGAGATTTGCATGCGGCCGGTTTCTCCAGGAAAACCGGTTCTTTGGCCTTGCATCCGGCGCAAGACTGGCTGAGGGTATGTCGCGGTTTTTTCTCCACTGTGGTGTCCTTGACTACGGCGCTCCAGTGAGGGAATTTCCTGGGAACCACTTGATCGTGATACATAACACTGTGTTATCTTACACCTGGGAGGGCATAACATGGTGTTATCTTACACCTGAGGGGCATAACACTGTGTTATCTTACACCTGGGGGCATAACATGGTGTTATCTTACACCTGAGCGGCATAACACTGTGTTATCTTACATCTGGGGGCATAATATGGGGTTATGTTACACCTTGGGGCATAACACTGTGTTATCTTACACCTGGGGGGGCATAACATGGTGTTCTCTTACACCTGGGGGCATAACATGGTGTTATCTTACACCTGGGGGGCATAACATGGTGTTATCATACACCTGGGGGCATAACATGGTGTTATATTATACCTGGGGACATAACATGGTGTTATCTTACATCTGGGGGCATAACATGGTGTTATCTTACATCTGGCGGCATAACACTGTGTTATCTTACACCTGGGGGGCATAACATGGGGTTATGTTACACCTTGGGGCATAACATGGTGTTATCTTATACCTGGGTGGCATAACATGGTGTTCTCTTACATCTGGGGGCATTACATTGTGTTATCTTACATCTGGCGGCATAACATGGTGTTATCTTACACCTGGGGGGCATAACACGGTGTTATCTTACACTTGGGGGGCATAACATGGTGTTATCTTACACCTGGGGGCATAACATGGTGTTATCTTACACCTGGGGGCATAACATGCTGTTATCTTACAACTGGGGGGCATAACATGGTGTTATCTTACACCTGGGGGCATAACATGGTGTTATCTTACACCTGGGGTGCATAACATGCTGTTATCTTACACCTGGGGGCATAACATGCTGTTATCTTACACCTGGTGTATAACATTGTGTTATCTTACACCTATGGGCATAACATTGAGTTATCTTACGCCTGGGGCCATAAAATTGTGTTATCTTACACCTGGGGGACATTACATGGTGTTATCGCGTACACCTGGAGCATAACATCGAGTTATCTTATACCTAGGGGAAATAACATGGTGTTATCTTACACCTGGGAGTATAATATTGAGTTATCTTACACCTGGGGGCATAACATGGTGTTATCTTACACCTGAAGGGCATAACATGGTGTTATCTTACACCTGGGGGCATAACATGGTGTTATCTTACACCTGGGGAGCATAACATGGTGTTATCTTACACCTGGAGGCATAACATTGTGTTATGTTGCACCTGGGGGCATAACATGGTGTTATCGTACACCTGGGGGCATAACATTGAGTTATCTTACACCTAGGGGGGCATAATATGGTGTTATCTTACACCTGGGGCATAACATGGTGTTATCTTGCACCTGGGGGCATAACATGGTGTTATCTTACACCTGGGGGCAAAGCACAGTGTTATCTTTCACCTGGGGGGTTAACATGGTATTATCTTTCACCTGGGGGGTTAACATGGTGTTATCTTACACCTGGGGGCAGAACATGGTGTTATCATACACCTAGGGGCATAACATGGTGTTATCTTACACTTGGGGCAAAACATGGTGTTATCTTACACCTAGGGGCATAAATTGGTGTTATCTTACACCTGAGGGAATACCATTGTGTTATTTTACGCTTTGGTCCATAACATTGTTATCTTACACACGTGGGCATAACATTGAGTTATCTTACATCTGTTTGCATAATAGTTTGTTATCTTACAATGTTATGGGGGGGGCATAACATTGTATTTTCATACAATGTTTTTAGGGCATGACATTGTGTTATCTTACACCGGGGGCATAACATTGTGTTAACTTACACGTGGGGGCATAATATTGTGTTATCTTACACCTGGGGGCATAACATTGTGTTATCTTACCCCTGGGCTAAAATATTGTGTTTTCTTTCACCTGGAGATCCAAGTCTATCCTGAGGATCCAAGTTATCTTACACCTCGGGGCATAACATTGTTTTATCTTACAGCTGGGGGCATAACATGGTGATATTTTACACCTGGGGGCATAATATTGTGGTATCTTACACTTGGGGGCATAACATTATGGTATCTTACACCTTTTGGACATAACATGGGATGGGATGATAACATGGGCCACCTTTGGGATGAAATATCTAGAGCATCTAAGTCTAGAAGTATTTGTGTCATGGGTGACTTTAATTTTAGTGGAATAAACTGGATTAACAGAACAGGGAATAATGAAGCAGATTTTCTAGAATTAATTGACGATTGCTTTCTTACGCAACACATTAAGGAACCAACACGGGGAAATAATGTTTAAGATTTAGTGTTAACTAACAGGGAAACACAAATTAATGACATCGAAATAGGGAGTGAGCTAGGGAACAGTGATCACAAAGAAATCAGATTTAGCATAGAATGGAATCGATCTGTAGGAGAAAAATCTGTTAAAGTGCCAGATTTTCGAAAAGCTGATTTCAATTGCCTAAGAATTTTTTGTGGTCAAATAGATTGGAAAGTCTTTGGCAGGGGGTGGGCCGGTCTTGGAGCGAGACGTGAACCCAGCGATAGGTGACGCAAAAATGGATTTCGATGTGGATTCATATATATAACTTATTTAAGTATATTCTAACCAAAGCACAGGAACGTAGTATACCATACAAATTGAATAGATCGAATACTAATGACCCAAAGTGGATAACGAAGGATCTGAAGAACCTTATAGGTAAAAAGAGAGTTTGGTACAAAATGATTAAGAATGGGGAAGTCAGTTTAGAACAAGAATTCGTATAACTGGTTATAAATGTTAAAAAAGAGATAAGGAAAGCAAAAAGAAACTATGAAGTTCGATTAGCAGGGCAAGCAAAGACAAATCATAAAGTTTTTGTCAGTTTTATCGAACGAAGATTAGGGAAAGGATAGGTCCATTAAAATCTGAGACAGGTCAGATAACTGATAATGACGAGATGAGTAGTATTTTTAATAAATATTTTATATCTGTATTTACTAAAGAGGAACTTAACACTATGCCTTCAGCCGAACAAGTCTATGTGGGTGGGGACGAGGACAGGTTGACTAGTTTAGCAGTTACCAGGGAGGATGTAATTAAACAAATAGTAAAACTCAAACCAAACAAATCCCCAGGGCCGGATGAAGTGTTTGCCAGGGTGCTTAAAGAATGCAAAGAGGAGCTTTGCGAGCCACTGTCTATCATATTTAATAAATCAATAGAATCAGGCAGAGTGCCAGAGTCATGGAAGGTAGCTAATGTGGTACCAATTTTCAAGAAAGGAGATAGATCACATGCGTCAAACTATCGGCCAATTAGCCTAACGTCTATTGTGGGAAAGTTACTTGAATCGATAATTACAAATACAATTCGTCTTCATCTTGAAAAACATAAATTAATAAATGAGTCGCAACATGGTTTTACGAATGGCCGTTCATGTTTAACAAATTTGCTATAGTTTTATTCCAGTATGGTTGAGGCAGTTGATAGTGGTAAGGATTGCGATGTTGTGTACCTTGACTTTAGCGAAGCTTTTGATACAGTGCCACATGAAAGACAGATTAAAAAGATAGAGGCTCATGGTATTGGGGGTGCTATATTAAGCTGGATTAGGGCATGGCTATACCAAAGAAAACAGAGAGTTAATAAAAATGGGGTCAAGTCGGAGTGGGAAAATGTTGTAAGTGGAGTGCCTCAAGGCTCTGTCCTGGGACCTCTGTTGTTTATAATATATATAAATGATTTAGATTCAGGTTTGAGTAGCAACATTTGCAAATTTGCCGATGATACAAAAATCGGCAGGGAAATTATCACGGAAGAAGACTCACTATCACTTCAAGTTGATCTAAATTGGGTTTTGAAATGGTCAAAAGATTGGCAGATGCAGTTTAATGCTGATAAATGTAAAGTTCTGAGGCTAGGTAATGATGATAGAGTTACAAGATACGAGCTAGATGGTGTTGAGATTGTGAAGTCGGATTGCGAAAGGGCTCTGGGAGTAATGATTAGTAAGAATTTAAATCCAAAGGATCAATGCATGAATGTTCGTAATAAGGCAAATAGGACTCTGGGATTTATTAATCGAAGCATTAGTAGCAAGACACCTGGTGTTGTTCTTCGGCTATATCTTGCTCTGGTTAGGCCCCATTTAGATTATGCAGTTCAGTTTTGGTCGCCGTACTATAGAATGGATATAAATTCACTTGAACATGTCCAGTGTAGGCTGACAAAGTTAATTCCCCAAATTAGAAATCTTTCATATGAAGAAAGATTAACAAAGCTTAAATGGCATTCACTGGAAAGGCGAAGAGTTAGGGTTGACATGATGGAGGTTTACAAGTGGATGAATGGACATAACAAAGGGGGCTCTAAAAGTATCAACACAAGACAGAACACGAAACAATAGGTATAAATTGGATAAGTTTAGATTTAGGAAAGACTTTGGAAAATACTGGTTGGTAATAGGGTTATATCTTGAGGTTATCTTGAGATGATTTCGGGGCTTTTTTAGTGTCCCCGCGGCCCGGTCCTCGACCAGGCCTCCATACCCAGGAAGCAGCCCGTGACAGCTGACTAACACCCAGGTACCTATTTTACTGCTAGGTAACAGGAGCATAGGGTGAAAGAAACTCTGCCCATTGTTTCTCGCCGGCACCCGGGATCGAACCCGGGACCACAAGATCACAAGAGCAGCGTGCTGTCCGCTCGGCCGACCGGCTCCCTAGGGTTGTTGATTTGTGGAACCAATTACCGCGTAACGTGGTGGAGGTGGTCTCCCTCGATTGTTTCAAGCGCGGGTTGGACATGTATATTAGTGGGATTGGGTGGCTATAAATAGGAGCTACCTCGTATGGGCCAATAGGCTATTTGCAGTTACCTTTGTTCTTATGTTCTTAACATGGTGTTATCTTACACGTGGCGGAATAACATTGTTTTATCTTACACTTGGGAACATCACATTGTGTTAAATTACACCTGGGGGAGCATAACTCTGTGTTATCTTGCACCTATTGGCATAACATTGTGTTATCTTACGCCTGGGGGCATAACACTGTGTTATCTTACACCTGGGGGCATAACATTGTGTTATCTTACGCCTGGGGGCATAACATTGTGTTATCTTACACCTGGGGGCATAACATTGTGTTATCTTACACCTGGTGGCATAACATTGTGTTATCTTAAACCTATGGACATAACATTGTGCTATATTAGACCTATGGGCATAACGTTGTGTTATCTTACACCTGCGGACATAACATTATGTAATCTTACACCTATGGGCATAACATTGTGCTATCCTAGACCTGGGGCATAACGTTGTGTTATCTTACACCTGGGAGCATATTATGTTATCTTATACCTATGGGCATAAAATTGTGTTATCTTACACCTGGGGCATAACATGGTGTTATCTTACACCCGGGGGCATAACATGGTGTTATCTTACACGTGGCGGAATAACATTGTGTTATCTTACACCTGGGAGCATAACCTTGTGTTATCTTACACCTGGGGGCATAACATTGTGTTATCCTACACACGTGGGCATAACATTGTGTTATCTTACACCTTTGGGCATAATATTTTGTTATCTTACAATGTTATGAGGGTATAACATTGTGTTATTTTACAATGTTATGGGGGCATAGCATTGTGTTATCTTACACCTGAGGGAAAACATGGTGTTATCTTACACTAGAGGCATAACTTGGTGTTATCCTACACCTGAGGGCATAACATTGTGTTATCTTACACCTAGGTCCAAAATATTGTGTTTTCTTACACCTAGGAGCATAACGTGGTGTTATCTTACACCAGAGGGCATAACATTGTGCTATCGTACACCTGGGGGGGCGTAACATTGTGTTATCGTACACCTGAGAGCATAACCTTGTGTTATCTTACACCAGGGGGCACACCATTGTTTTATCTGACACCTGGGGGCATAACATGGTGTTATCTTACAAGTGGGGACATAACATGGTGTTATCTTACTCCTGGGGGGCATAACATTGTGTTATCTTACACCTGGGGGCATAATATTGTGTTATCTTCCACCTATGGGCATAACTTTATATTATCATACACCCATAGGCATAACATTGCGTTATCTTGCACCCTTTGGCATGATATTGAGTTGTCCTACACCAATGACACGATATGGAATCATACACATATGGGTATCTCATTAATCGATCTTACATATGTGGTTATATAATATTATATAATCTCTCCCACCCACTTTTACCATCGGGTATCGAACGCCGTCCCTGCAAGAAGCAAGGTCCTTGCTCTACCTACCATGTCAAGAGATTGCGTTTATTGTGTAATAAATGATTTTTTGCAGTGAAAACTTTATTTTCCCCCAAATTCACGCATAAAGTTGAACACTTACATGTGGGGGGAGCCCGAAGTTGACGGAGCATATCTTGTTCAACTGAACATTCTCGATGAAGAGGAGCATGGCCTCTTTGCACGCTCCGTCGACGAGCATGACAGGTTCCACAGTAATGGCCCTCAGTGCCGTCATTATAGTTCCGGCCATCCTGCTGTGTTGGTCTTGCTCCTTCACAGCACTCGCTAGTTACTGCTGGGTCAGCTGTCTCCCTCCACCAACACTCACTAGTTACTGCTGGGTCAGCTGTCTCCCTCCACCAACACTCGCTAGTTACTGCTGGGTCAGCTGTCTCCCTCCACCAACACTCGCTAGTTACTGCTGGGGCAGCTGTCTCCCTCCACCAACACTCGCTAGTTACTGCTGGGGCAGCTGTCTCCCTCCACCAACACTCACTAGTTACTGCTGGGTCAGCTGTCTCCCTCCACTAACACTCGCTAGTTACTGCTGGGGCAGCTGTCTCCCTCCACCAACACTCACTAGTTACTGCTGGGTCAGCTGTCTCCCTCCACCAACACTCGCTAGTTACTGCTGGGGCAGCTGTCTCCCTCCACCAACACTCGCTAGTTACTGGTGGGTCAGCTGTCTCCCTCCACCAACACTCGCTAGTTACTGCTGGGGCAGCTGTCTCCCTCCACCAACACTCGCTAGTTACTGCTGGGTCAGCTGCCTCCCTCCACCAACACTCGCTAGTTACTGCTGGGGTCAGCTGTCTCCCTCCACCAACACCCGCTAGTTACTGCTGGGTCAGCTGTCTCCCTCCACCAACACTCGCTAGTTACTGCTGGGCCAGCTGTCTCCCTCCACCAACACTCGCTAGTTACTGCTGGGTCAGCTGTCTCCCTCCACCAACACTCGCTAGTTACTGCTGGGTCAGCTGTCTCCCTCCACCACCCTTCAAATTTTCCAGGTCACATTCAACTGATTCCATTAATATGTTCAAGTTCCCCTAGAGCTTAGAGTTCCACATGAGTTTCTCCAGTCTCCCTTGAGGTTAAAGTCCCTTTTGAGATTCTCCAAGTCCCCCTTGAGGTTATGCAAGTCACCCTTGAACTTAAGACTCAGGGCCACATTGCAGTAAGGCGGGGATTCTCCCTGTTACCTTCAATACCTGTCTTGGGTTACCTGAGGCCCAGGGAAGATAGGATACGCCCCCTGAACCAGGGGAGGAGGGGAACGGGGCCTTCCCCTCAGATACGTCTTGCTGAGGGAGGATGCTGAGACAGGATCCTGAGGGAGGATGTTGAGGGAGGATGCTGAAGGATGCGTGAGAGATGCTGAATAAAGAACGCTAGAAATGCTGACGAACAAAGCCAGAGAACGCTGACTAAGAATCCATAATGACGCTGACGAAGACGAAGCGGGTCGCGTCACGACGTTTTGAGTCGTCAAAAGATCTCCTCTTTCTCTCTCTCATCTCAAGACATTGTTGACACGAAGAATTACACTCCAACTGTTGTTTCGATTCACAATTATGTCCTCATAAAACGTTTTCTTCAAGATCGGACACACCAGCAAACTTTACTATCAAAAAAATATATATTTGTTTAGTCTACGGCTTACAAGACTATTTTAAATAGGTGTAAAATTTAATACTCCAAATCTTAATAAAAAATCAAATACTAGATATTTTCTTTTATTTAAAACGTATTAACTGAAGGAAAATTATTTATTTCCTGTGGGTTATTGCAATGGATGAAGGAAATGGTTCTTTCAATAGGGGTATGCCTTCATTTTGTAAACAAATGAAAGCAGTGTTTGTCCAAGAAGATGAAGGCAGCGTCTGTCCTACAAGATGAAGAAGGCAATTTCTGTACCAGAAGATGAAGAAGGTAGATTCTCTCCAAGAAAATGTAGATAGTTTCTGTCCCAGAAATGACTGTGTGCCAGATAGAGACTGCGCCTCCCACACGTCGACCAGGACAAGTCCTCCTACAACGCCTCCCACTGTCGACCAGGACAAGTCCTTCTACAACGCCTCCCTCACGTCGACCAGGACGACCCTTCCTACAACGCCTCCCACACGTCGACCAGGAGAAGTCCTCCTACAACGTCTCCCACTGTCGACCAGGACAAGTCCTTCTACAACGCCTCCCTCACGTCGACCAGGACGACCCTTCCTACAACGTCTCCCACCGTCGACCAGGACGACCCTTTCTACAACGCCTCCCACACGTCGACCAGGAGAAGTCCTCCTACAACGTCTCCCACTGTCGACCAGGACAAGTCCTTCTACAACGCCTCCCTCACGTCGACCAGGACGACCCTTCCTACAACGTCTCCCACCGTCGACCAGGACGACCCTTCCTACAGCGTCTCCCACAACATACTGCGGGCTGTACAGGTGTGTGGTGGTTCGTCTCAACCGATGCAAAGTCAACTGCTTTTTCCCCCCTAGGCTACATCTGCCAGGCAGAATCCGTCTTATGCACCTGTGAAATAGATTTGGTTTTCTTCCTTTCTGCTCATGGAAACTTTACTGTGTTTTTTGGTAATGTATCAACAACGGTAAACTCAGGCGTCGGTAAATATCAAGTGTCTTCAGACGCTTCGCTAAAAAGTAGGAAAGTTGTACAGAATTGATGTACATTACATTACATCAATTGATGTACATTACATCAATATACAGACAGAAATGATGACATTATGATTTATTAATGCGAATGCCCCTAGGAGCTGTGATGCAGATTCGAACCTATGTGGAGGGTGTTCCCAGATGCACGCTCTAAACGACCACACCATGACTTGGTCACCACAGTTTTGTTATGTAAGGCATAACAAACAAACACACTGATGAACTGAACATAGCCGAACACGGGATACAATAACAAGTAGGGGGGGAGATGATTGCGACATGGAAGATCCTAAGGAATGGTAGCAGCACAACGAAGAGGCGTGGATGACAGAGGCACAAGGAAGATATTTCATCAGTGAAAAAGTTGTGCAGAGATTAACGTCAAGAGGAGACATGATTACGTCATGTAAAATCCTTTAAGGCATCGACAAAGTGAACAGTATCGAAATGCACAGCAATAACAGGTCGTGTCTCCTCGCACATAATCTTGAGGTTATCTTGAGATGATTTCGGGGCTTTAGTGTCCCCGCGGCCCGGTCCTCGACCAGGCCTCCACCCCCAGGAAGCAGCCCGTGACATCTGACTAACACCCAGGTACCTATTTACTGCTAGGTAACAGGGGCATTCAGGGTGAAAGAAACTTTGCCCATTTGTTTCTGCCTCGTGCGGGAATCGAACCCGCGCCACAGAATTACGAGTCCTGCGCGCTATCCACTAGGCTACGAGGCCACCTTTGGCCTCGTAGGCCATAATGCACCAATTTTTTTCCGAAATGGACCAATGCGTCTTTTTTTTTAAGATTTTTTAAGATATTTTTTTTTTTTTTTGGGGGGGGGGGGGAGGGAGGACATTCAAAGGCACCACAATACTGACGCTTTCTGACCATTGTCCACGCGGGACAATGGTCAGAAAGCTAATTACCTTTGATTTCAATATTTATGGCTGTAAAAGCCGTAATTTTTGTATGTTTCGGGTAAGACTAAACCGTTTTATTTTTTGTGTTCCAATCAAGTCCCCCAATTTTTTTTTTTACAGAAAGTTGAATGCAGGTGGAGCCAGTGTGACTAGAGGGTACCGTTGTTACGGTGTACTGGTACTGTTGTTACAGTGTAGTGGTACTGTTGTTACAGTGTAGTGGTACTGTTGTTACGGTGTACTGGTACTGTTGTTACAGTGTAGTGGTACTGTTGTTACGGTGTACTGGTACTGTTGTTACAGTGTAGTGGTACTGTTGTTACAGTGTAGTGGTACTGTTGTTACAGTGTAGTGGTACTGTTGTTACAGTGTACTGGTACTGTTGTTACAGTGTAGTGGTACTGTTGTCACAGTGTAGTGGTACTGTTGTTACAGTGTAGTGGTACTGTTGTTACAGTGTAGTGGTACTGTTGTTACAGTGTAGTGGTACTGTTGTTACGGTGTACTGGTACTGTTGTTACAGTGTAGTGGTACTGTTGTTACAGTGTAGTGGTACTGTTGTTACGGTGTACTGGTACTGTTGTTACAGTGTAGTGGTACTGTTGTTACGGTGTACTGGTACTGTTGTTACAGTGTAGTGGTACTGTTGCTACAGTGTACTGGTACTGTTGTTACAGTGTAGTGGTACTGTTGCTACAGTGTACTGGTACTGTTGCTACAGTGTACTGGTACTGTTACAGTGTAGTGGTATTGTTGTTACAGTGTACTGGTACTGTTGCTACAGTGTACTGGTACTGTTGCTACAGTGTACTGGTACTGTTACAGTGTAGTGGTATTGTTGTTACAGTGTACTGGTACTGTTGCTACAGTGTACTGGTACTGTTACAGTGTAGTGGTATTGTTGTTACAGTGTACTGGTACTGTTGCTACAGTGTACTGGTACTGTTGCTACAGTGTACTGGTACTGTTACAGTGTAGTGGTATTGTTGTTACAGTGTACTGGTACTGTTGCTACAGTGTACTGGTACTGTTACAGTGTAGTGGTATTGTTGTTACAGTGTAGTGGTACTGTTGTTACAGTGTACTGGTACTGTTGTTACAGTGTAGTGGTACTGTTGTTACGGTGTACTGGTACTGTTGCTACAGTGTACTGGTACTGTTGTTACAGTGTAGTGGTACTGTTGTTACAGTGTACTGGTACTGTTGTTACAGTGTGCTGGTACTGTTGTTACAGTGTACTGGTACTGTTGTTACAGTGTACTGGTACTGTTGTTACAGTGTTCTGGTACTGTTGTTACAGTGTACTGCTTGTGATAACTGTTATCATTGAGCTATGAGGAAAGACAGAGAGAAGTGGACCATATCACACAGGAGGGAAAAGAGAGATAGGGTGGGACATGATAACAACATACACGATTCTAAGGGAAATTGACAAAGTAGACAAAGCAGCCAATAACAGCAGAAGGAGGGGTCATAGATGGACACTGGAGACGCAAGTGCGTCACTGAGACGTCAGGAAGAACGTTTACAGTGTCAGAGATGTCAGTTAATGGAACAGGTTAGACGTAAAAGTCATTCAAGGAAACTCGATTCAAAGTTTTAAATGTAAATACCGTAAAAGCGCGAGAAATGTGTCAAATGTGTTAGTTGAAGCCTCTGAGGAAGCAACTAACACAACACTTTACAGGAACTTCTTTTCGACGGCTCACGAAACGGAGGAAAGTGTCCTGAAAGATATTATTAAGAGGAACGTTATCCCCACAGACACAAATCAGAAGATACAATTAACAATTTACTACAAAAACAAGAAGATGGCAAACCTACTTATGAAGAACTCTCCAAACCCCAAACAGATCGCCTTAAAAGAGACCAACGTCGTCTGTACCCACTTGGGGGTCTGTCAGCCCCAAAGATCTCAGTATATAGGCAAGACAACAACGTCTCTCTCTAGGCGATTAACAAAGCACAAGCTAAAGTCAAAACCAGCAATCAACAGCCAATTAACACATAATTACATTCTACCCACTTCTAAACCCCAAACCAACACAGAAACAGGAAAAGGATGAACATGGAACATGTTGATCAAAACCACACACTAAAAAGTGAAGGGACGACGACGTTTCGGTCAATCCTGGACCATTCTTCGTGTTGGGTCGTCGTCGTCCCTTCACTTTCTAGTGTGTGGTTTTGGTCAACATGTTTCAGCCACGTTATTGTGACTCTTCGTCTGAAGATAGAACATACAATGGCCTCTTAAAGCCCATTATGCCAGTGATCAACTTGTTCATCTCAACCTTATGTTCTTGCGGCTTCTTGTTCTTCTAAGGCAGGGTTATTGGATCCTGTCTCTGCGTTCGCTCGGGGTCTTGAAGTGGGTAGGATGTAATTATGTGTTAACTGGTTGTTGATTGCTGCCCTTGACCTTTTGATGTGTAGCGCCTCGCTGATGTCCAGTGTTCTGTTGTCGTTATACCTGTCCATTATTTCAGTGTTGGTTATTAAGATGTCTCTGGTGATGGTCTGGTTGTGTGAGGAGATTATATGCTCCTTGATGGAGCCCTGTTGCTTGTGCATTGTTAATCAATGCTATGCTTGTGCATAGCGCTTTGTCATGGGTTCGTATCCTGGCGTGGGAGGATTTACTGGGAGCAAATCCTTAACTGTAGCCTCTGTTTAACGCAACAGTAAAATGTGTACTTGGATGAAAAAACGATTCTTCGCGGCGGGGATCGTATTCCAGGGACCTGCCCGAAACGCTACGCGTACTAGTGGCTGTACAAGAATGTAACAACTCTTGTATATATCTCAAAAAAAAAAAATCGCCTCGAGACGTCGTGGTCTTGCCTATATACTGAGATCTTTGAGGCTGACAGTCCCCAAGTGGGCATGTAAAGGCATAGACGACACTGGTCTCTTAAGGCGTTCTGCTTGGTGTCTGGAGAGTTCTTCATAAGTAAGTTGGCGGTGTTACTTTACAAAGACCAACGTCGTTTAATACTGCATATATTATTATAATATGTACGACGTGCTTTGCTACGGCCAACTTATCCACTGAGTAAAGTAAAGTTTCCAACTTAAAGTAAACTTATCCAACTTAAAGTAAAGTTTCTGAAACAAGATGTTCAGTATATCCCTGGTTTTTCTATTCATCTTAAAATTAAGATTCCCGAAGGGAACATCGATCATAAATATTTTATTAAAACGATATGGAAGACCTACAGTTACGTTATACAGAAGAATAGAGAAAGTGGATTTCGCAGTTAAGAAGGCTCACTTGGATTTGGAATTTCTACAAACCTGTAAGGCGCATCGTTTGGTCCCAAGATTCATCAGGTTTAAAGTGTATTCCGACAAATTTGCGTTGACAAGTGAATATAATTCTTGGTTATTAAGATTGTTGGACTTAGAAATTTCGGAGAAGCAGAAGCGGGTAAATAAGTTGAAAAGTGAATTGCACGTGTACTTGGAGAAATTCAAGATCTTGGTTTCCTGGGTTGATTTTGCATCCATATATATATATATATATATATATATATATATATATAACTGAAATATATATATATATATATATATATATATATATATATATATATATATATATATATATATATATATATATATATATATTGTGACGATAATCTCCTTCAAGAGATTGAGCCTGCTCTTCCCTTCATAACTACGTCGTCACAATTATATAATACGACTATGGAAGAAATGTCCAACAACGACAACAACACCAGCAAGGCTTGCCAGGGTGAGCAAAACGTATGCAGCCAGCCACCTGTTCGAACTCCAACCACCAAACTACCCGTTGATCGCTA